AATAAAAAAAAAAAAATATATTATATATAAAATAAAATTATAAAGAAAGTAAGTTGGGGCTAAAGACATTATTGGAAATTGACTCTCGAGTTATGGGCGACCATTTGATAATTAGCTCTCGTACTAGCACTCATGTACAATATTGATATTGAGTTAATAAATATATGCGTAAAGTTATTTATGTCTAATACTAAATCTAATTTCAGAGCAAAAATAATATAAAAACAACATCACGAAGTATAGATTTTCGCTATGTCAGCATTCGAAGCGTGAGAATCTGTCACTTAAGTTCAACACGTTTTGAATTAATATATAGGGAGGGATAAATAAATAAATGAAATAATAAGCCAATAAAGCTTCTTCACTTTTTGCTTCCAAAGATTTTGGTTTGGCAGCTTTTATTTGCCCCGACACTAGCAGGGCTTCCTCAATCAAACCTCTCATCAATTTTTAAACCATTTCCTTAGCCTCTACTCAAAGTTTAATAATAATAATAATAATAATAATAATAATAATAATAATAATAATAATAATAATAATAATAATAATAAAGGCAAGCATTAGAAACTAAGAAATGAAGAGAATGCCCAAAACAGCCAATCACAAGAGCAAAAATTGACTGTACAACAGAATTACATATTTATATGTCAGATATTATTATAACTGAATATGGTGTTAGAACTTATTAGAATCAATCACTCAGTTCACCTATCATCTATAATTCTATATATTAGTTACATGACCCAAAAAATATAAAATAAAATAAAAACACCAAATTCTAGAACTGATCTGTCTACTTTCTTTTCCTGCCAAAACCTGTTCAATTTTGCTCCTTTTGTGCCTTATTATTTAGAGCTTGCTAACCAGCTGATGTGTTCCCAGACGAAGGATCATTCGACACTTGACGAACAAACTGTCCTTTTACGCGCGGACGCTGCTCGGCCAACTTCTTTCTGCTTTCATATCTCACCTATCAAGCAAAAAGTAAAATATTTAAGAAAAAAAAAAAGTTAACATGGTTCTTGGAATTTCATCTAAATGTCACAATATCATATATATAAACCAAAAAAAAAAAAGGAAAAAGATTTTGCTTGTGTGGTTGTACCTTCTTCTCGAAGCATCTATCTTTCCTCTTCAAACGAAACTTATTTAAAGCGGCCTCTCTCTGCATGGACCGTTTAGAGGCCTCATCAAGAACATGTGAGCTCTCTTCATGACCGGCATATTCTGAAGGGCCCTTGATGACGTGGATCGTATTGCCATTACATAAATTGCTATTACCACTCTCGTCATTCCCAGACGAAACGAGCCCCTGCTGACCCTCCACATTTTCCGGTTTATTCTCCGGTTCAACAACTGAATTACCAATGTTTTTTTGATCTATAATAACCTGCTGATGAGAACTGGCCGGCTGATTTTCTGATAGGTGGTAAAATAAGCTTGACTGTGGGAATGATTCGGTGTGGTGAGGCGTGCTTGGGCTCGATAGTGAGGATGAGCCTGATTGGGCGCGGTAGAGTGAAGGTATAATGGAATTATTATAGGCACTGTTTGCATTTTCGAATCTTATGCCTTTGACTGGGATCGGAAGAGATATTTCTTTGTTCTGAGAGTGAGAGTAAGAGAATGTGATTTGTTGGGGTCCTAACTGGATTGAGGGCATAAAAACGTGGTTTTTTTCGGGAGCATTTTCTTGATCTTTTGATGGCTTGTTTATGTACCTGCACAAAGTGTTGTTTTTTTCCTTCCATAAGGCTACAAATTTTTTGAAGTGTAGATAAATAAAATAAAACTAGTTTTAACTTTGTCACTTTTTTGAGCTCCATACTCAATCTCTCTCATTTTAATTTGCAGTAAGCCTCATTTGCAAAAAATGAACGAACAAAACAGGGCAAATGAACTTACCTAGAAAAGGCCGATGCATCCGAATGGTTTAAATTTAATCTAGGCTGTTCATCATTTGGTGGATTCAGAGGGTCACTGTTATGAGGCCTTCTCAAGGAGAGGTCTAATAAGGGAAAAATGTCGAATTTGTTTGCACTTGCGTTCGGAGGGGAACTTGTGAAATTTCCCTTCGAGTGATTATCAAAAGCACCGATTAAATCAATGGCTTCTCTACAAGGATTCTCGAGGGCACGGGTGTTCTCAGCATTTATGCCTCCCACTGCATGTGTTTCAATATCAAGAATGAGGTAGTTGCCCAAAAAAAAAAAGGACATGAAGTATTTTGCTTCGATAAGGTGAAATGATTAATTACATTTCAGAAGGAAAAAAAAAAAAAAAACAAAGGAAGCCATTAGGAACATATATATATATATGTATACCTTTGATCTCGTTATCATATGCTCGTTTTTCCATACTTTCTTGATGACATTCTTCCATAGCTTTTTGTTGCTGTGAGGTGCAATAGCCATTTTCGATCTCTTCTCCTTCAGTCTCCAACTCCGGTTTTGTGCATGAGCTCTGTAAAGATCAAATTAAGATACTTTATTACATCAGTGTTGTATTAATCAAGATTCATCCAGTGATGCTTTTGGTATCAAAAGAGAATAAATTAGGACTAATAACAATAGAAAAGACCAACTATCTCCGGGACTTCATTTTTGTATCTATTTTACAAATTTCACCTTTCGAGGGGCCATTTTATTATATCCAAAATATCAATGATCTATTAAGATTTTTCTTTGTTTATTATCAGGCTAAAATGCATGGAAATTGGATTAAATCGGAAAGAAATAAAGAGTTGAGGTGACGAAAAATAGAATATATACCTGATCATCACTTCCCTTTAAGGTGCACTGCTTATTTCTCTGAATGCACGAGACGTGACCACTTGAATGGTTACTAATAGCATTATTCTCATCAGTAGTTTCATCCTTTTGTTGTACACTCTCATCTGGAGGTCCAAGCCCAGCACCAGTGCTCGACTGATGCCATTACATTGCAAAAGGAGCAAAATAAGATCAGTACAACATTTCAGTACAGTAATGTAACTTAAAAGGAAACAAACTAGTGAATAAAATGACAATTATAAGAACACCCACATGATTTAGCCTAAATCCTAATATACAACAAAAAATATATCCTGTTACTTTTCGCATTTACAGGGATACCTCTTGAGCACACAATTAGTAAAACAGAGGAAAGAAGAAAAATAAAAAATAAAATCAAGAGGGTAATCATAGTTTCAAAATATAATTGGACCTTTCGAAATTAGGATACACAAGAGGGGTGGTTTCATAATTTTTCCATAAAAAATTATGTGTTTTAAACTTACAGCTTGTTTTCTCCATACATGCTGCCACAAATTCCTCAGCTCGTTTTTTCTGATGGGCTTGACGAGAAAGTCAGCCGCGCCTTTCAGCATGCACTTATAAACTGTACTAACAGAGTCTTGTGACGACATCACTGCATTTTCCAAATAACAAGTGTATAAGAAAGTTAACTATTCAGCATTCGACAATACATAATGGATAATATAGAAAGAAAGATAATGGAAATTATTCGTCGAACATAACATACTTATTACAGGGATATTTTTGCAGGCCTCGTGCTCCATGATTAAGGTGAGAAGCGCATATCCAGAGATCGATGGCAACTCAACTTCTGTTAGAATAAGGTCTATGTTACATGGACTTCCTTTAAGTACTTCCCATGCTTTTAAGCCATCAGGAACTGCAGCAACTGCTTCCCACAAAAATGAAAATGTAATAAAAGTCAAATCGAGCAATCATTGACCGTATAAGCATTCGTTCTGCAAAAATTCTACCTAAGCTCTCGACAATAAATGGAAATACACGGTGTATGTAAAAATTGCTTAGCCACTTTGCGAGTTAAGTGAGGCATATTCATATAAATTGATGACTTCTGCTTCTGGTTTTAGTTTACATTATTTAAGAACAATCTAGAAGCATGGAATCTTTTTCTTAACCTGTACTTTAGATTGAGAGCTTTGCTTCTAGTTCCGAATTCCGTGTACAAATCAAATATAACATTAATGTTCACCAATCACACCAACTTCAAACTTATTCAACTTTTACCTTCCTCGGGCAAAACGATACTTGCCATTTTTTTATTCTGAACTACTTTTCATTTTTGGTACAACATTCTCCTACGAGGAAGATGACGAATCAAGGAAGAGTCCTTTGCCGAATCATGTTATGTTTATCAGGATTAGAAAGCATTTGACAAATCTATATACTCTAGATATTTGACCTACAATACAAACAGCAAAACTCCAATCCTCTGAGAAAATATTATGAAATTAAAATATCAGTATCGTGATTCAAGGATTGTAAGGGAAAGAAAGGGTCGAAAATTTTAGTTGCTTGAATAGAATAAGAACACATCAATTTAAAACTTCAGACCACATTAATTAATCATCTGTTTTAATAAAAGATTATAAGTATTAACAAACCTCAAACCAGACCAAACTACACAAAATGTTGTATCCCTAAAAACAATTTAAAACCCAAAATAGCTGATGAATAATGTATCATGTATCAACTCTTTCCACATAATGAATCAAATGAATAACACATTTAACCAGCACAGAGACTCTCTCAACCCTTAATCCTCAGAATCAAGATTTCATCTTTTTACCTCAAACACGAAAACTAAATCAAATCCTGAAAACAAGAATTCAAACCCCATTAAACAAACAAACAAACAAACAAACAAACCTCTGTAGCTGCATTTCCTGAGAAGGGCAGCAATAATCTGCCGAGTCGAATCGTCGGCTTCAACTAATAACACTCTAACCACCATTT